GAATCCAATATCTGTTAATGGCCCATAAAGTATAATTTTATCTATGGGTATTAACTTAGGTGATTTATTTCTCATAGCATATGATCAATAAAAATAAACATAGTTATTTCACATTTTAAATATTTTGAATCAAATTACATCTTTAAAAACTATTATAAAAATACACCATCCAGCTAGCAAGTAGTTCTCATAGCTATTTTCTATATCCTCATTAATTCAATGGAATTTTTTCTTTGTCATATATTCATTAGTTTTACTATACACACACACACACACACACACACACACACACACACACACACACTTTGGTTTAGCTGGAAGGATTTGCTTTGGTGTGAAGAAATTTATCCTGGAGATCTGTAGTTAAAAGCAATACCTAGGCAATGGCACATCACATCTGCAGGGCAGGAAATTAAGAGTAAAGTATTTGCCTACTTTTTAGCTGGTATAAGAAATGAGTGAAAAGAGTTTACTTTAGATTTTATATCTAGCAAAAATTTAATATATCACATGACTTTGAAGGAAAAAGAAAATTACAGTAGTAAAATATTGATGCATTGTGTTCATTTATACTGACTTTGATATGACTGAAACCACCAATTTAAAGGTTGAATACTCAATAAATACAAAGTAGATACATTGAAACTATGCGATATCATTTAGTACCAATGATAGCCCAATGGCAGAATTTTTTTAAAACATGCTGCCTAGACAATGTCATTATTTACTGGGAAGACATGGGGAATTATTTCACTGACTTCTTTTATCAGTGCTGTTTGAATGTGTCTTTATTGAAGGTAAACGTTACTGTGCAGTTTGTTTCTTCTTTTGGATATTCAGGAACTGGTCAAAAATAAATTCTGTTCCTTTGGGGAAGAATAAGTTGGAGAAAGTAACTGAGTTGCTGAATAAGTAGAAACACAAGGTGCCTTAATAGAGTTAAGACACAGATACATTTCATAAAGCTTAAAAAGTTACAAAGAGAGAGAATATTATTTACAAACTCTTAGGTGAAACATCTTGTTGAGAATCAATTGAACTGCATTTGGGGTATATTTTTTAAAGTGAAACTTCTACATGTGAATTAACTGGGAATAACCTGCTTACAGTCCTGGGACCTGGCTAAAAATCATGAAAGAATTTTATGTGTCTACCAAGAGTAAATAAATACTTGGTAAATATGAAAGGTAGGATTTTTAGTGTTACAGATCAGAGTTATAAATATTGAAAAGTAAAATACCAGAATAAATATTATAAATTTGCAAATGAGTATATGGGTAAATATATCAGATCCCTTTCAATAAAAAGCAAGAAGAAATGGATGATTCCAAAGATAGGGGGGAAATACAAGATGGACTTGTAATATTTGTGGTGTCACATGTACTCAGAAATGACAGGAGCATGGCAAAAGGATGCAAAGGGCAGCCTCAAGACAATCCCATTTCCAAGACAGGAATATAAGCATAAAAACAAATTATAGTGATAGAATCTATAGAATAAAATAAATGTGCATGAGGGTTTTTGATATGAAAATGAATAGAAATAGGGAGTGTTCTTATGGAAAGCATGCTAGAAATACAAAATTTATCATCTGGAAATTACTAAAAATGCAGACAGGAATCATGTACAGATGCTAATGTTAGGAATGTTTTGACAAAAGAGAATCCTTGTGTGTTTTTAAAGTATCCAGACAGAAGACGGTTTCTAACAGGAAAGTGATCATTTTCACATTGGAGGTAGCAGACTTCGAGGTTACACTGTCATCACATTTTAGGTTGCCAGTGTTGGAGCAAATCAAGCCAGTGCAGCTTCTAATGTATCACTTCCATCCCTCTGAGGCCTTCTTGGCAAACATGCCTAACCTGAATATAATTATAAAGAAAATCAGAGGAACTCAAATTATGGGGAAGTATACAAAACAGTGGCTTATTTTCTTCAAAGTGTGAAGTCACAAAGAAAGGGGGGAATTATACCAGTTTAATGGCATAGTAAAAGCAGTGAAAATACAAAAAAAATAAAGCATGTGTGATTCTAGATTGGATGCTGGAATAATTGATGGTATTTCCATAGGTTTATAGATTACTTGAGAGTAACATATTTTGATTCATTTCCTGATTTTTCTATAATTATGCCAAGGTTTTACAAACATATATCCTTTTTTCTTATAAAATTACTTGAAATGTGTAGAGGTAGACATATTTGCAACTTACTCTTAAATAAAAAACAATATCTATAATGAGACAGAGAATGCTGAAACAAGTGTCGTAAATTTTTGTGTCATTTTCATAAATTGAAATTAGTTTTAAGGATTTTAAATAATCATAATCTCAAAAGGGAGAAATTAGTATTTCTTGGGCTTTGTCCCTTTGACAGGCTAGGGAGTGGGGGTGAAAGATCTGGACTGACAGTCGCTCCAATGCTACAAGAAATAAGAGTGGTGTTGTCCCAGAGGGGCTGTTATCAGTGAGGAAAGCAGGTGACAATTCTCAGGCCAAATGCAGATGTGTCCCACAGAGAAGATCTTATGATTTCTTGCATGTAGGAAGGACACAGAAATATCGCCAATATTTAGTTATAGCTTATTAAAAATAGAGATATAAAAAGTGTGACTTCTTGGTGTTTTGTGTAAATTTAGAGGAATATTCTTTGGTTGCAACAGAAAACTTTCAGCTTTACACAGAGATATTCAAAATGTTTTGCCACGATTTTTCTGTCAGTTACATAAAAGGCATCTCTCACAGAGCTGCTGACAAAATTTAGGTTGAGAATATTGATATCTTTGATGACATAAATTTATGAGAACCAGAAAATTGAAGCAGACAAAAAATAGGAGAAGCTTTGTTAATAAAAGTAGATATGATTGCTGTTTTTAGATTCAAAATAAGAACTAAGAAATAAAGAAATAGGTTTGCACAGATACAAAACTGATGGAGAGAGGGAAAAAGTTTTATGGAAGATGGTAAATACCTACACACTTACTTTAAAATACTCCACTATGATAAAGCACATGTGTTTTAGCTCATGTATACACAGATCGTCTTGAGTTACTGTTATACCTGCAGGGAAACATAAATCCAGTCTCTCTGTGGAACTTATTTGTGGACCCATCTTCCTGCTCCTGGCATCAAAAAAATACTCAACAAAGGTGAATCATGTATTGATTACAAGTATGTTTATCCATCCTAATAACTGCCATGCACTGAAGTTGCTAAAATTTACACAATTTTATTGCAAATGATTGGATTTTATATTTCTTTCCCCAGAGTTATAGCAACATCCCCATGGAAGAACTGAACCAAATATGATTTTCCACAACTTTCTGCAAACAGGAGGAATAAAGAATCACATGGCTTGGAAGACAGATAATAAGTACAGAACCTTTGCTCAGAAACTGGACGTTCAACACATTTCAGTGTAACTAGATTTTAATATTTGTCTGCCTAAGGCTTCATGTTTGCTTTCACTGATGTGTATTTTTGTGCATGTGCAAGCGCTCGCACAGGTTAGCATCAAAGAACTTTATACAAAGGAACTCTATGCTCCATCCCACTCAGATCAAACATCTCATCTGCTGGACAAGACTCTTTAAAGGTAAGCATTTCCTTTATATTTTTTTTTTGGAGATAGAGTCTCGCCATACAGTTCAGGTTGACCTTGAACTCACTTTGTAGCCCAGGCTTGTCTTGAACTCGCAAAGATCCTCCTGCCTCAGCCTCCCTAATGCTGGGATTACAGGTGTGTGCCTCCATGCCCGGGAAAGGTAAGCATTTCTGTTCTAGAATACCCCTTTTCCCAAAATTTAACAGCTGAAATTTGCAGTCAAAGCACTCACACAATCATGTATGTATAAATGTAATTAATGTATACTTGCATAAAATGTTCTATTTAGCAATGCTCTTTGCCAACCCAGTATTTAGCAGATATTCTGGTCAGATGAAAGGCAGGAGAGAGGGCCCTTAAGTCTACCTGAGACCAGACGCCTCATTGTTGTAGAGAGGATTCCCAGCATAATGAGCTTATCCTGGGCTAACATTTAGGCAAACGTGCAGTGATCCTGCACATGCAGGCATCCTGGCAAACGTCAGTTGTCACTTTGACATATTTTCTGCCAATATATAGGCCATGTTGTTCTGTACTTCCTAAAATTTTAATGCTTTTTTTCTTTCATCTTATTAGCTTTATTTCCAAATTTAGTCAGAACCTCCAGTTCTCATATCCTTTTGCTCTTGTCACTCAAGAGTCAAACATGCGAGACTATGATTTGTTAAGAGTAAACATCTAAGAGCTGGGTAAAGTGGTTTTCTTCATTGTGTTGAATTCTTGGTATGCGCTGCAGATCCACTTCAGAGAAATTCAGTGGCTTCTGATGTATTTGTTGACCTTCTGCATGACTCAAAGCAAATAGCAACAAAGATGGAACATGGGACATAGTTTAGTTCTGTCAACTGGAAAACAGAACAGAAGGCAATTAATGCCATGTTAGTCATTCTGTCTCTTGCTAAGCGCATCAGATTGCTGAGTATGTGTAATTCTCTGCATGTTCAAATATCCTTGTTAAAAGGCACAGAAATACTAGATGCTGCAGATTGCTGTCCAATAAATGAGACAGAAATCTATCACCTGATGGTGTGAGACATTTATATTTTGTGAACATTAAAGGAATAAATAACATGTTTTAACTTTTTTGAAGTGTGATTCATGGGAAGTCAAATATCTAAAGATCTAAGGCATATGTGTGTATGTAAGAGCTACTTAATGGGAATAAAATAAATGAACCTAAAAAAATTATATTAACCTAATGCACTACAAATGTCCACTCAAATGTACTGGAAAATGGCTCTATCCCATCAAAATATATTTAGACAATGATGCAAGCAAAATTTTGGTGACAGATAGTTATTTCTGGAATTATGTAACAATCGGGTCTTGTTTTCTTTGTAAATAAAAGCACAGTTGATGCTTGTTTAAGCTTAGCGTACAAATGTACGTGATGCCAACTGGATTCAATTTATTTTGTCTTAATTTGAATTAATGTGACGGGTCTCTTGACACGTGCTGAACAAACTAATTGTTGCTTATTTGGGTGCACTGAATCAGTGAACGTGGCAATCAGAATCTAGGCAGATGTTCGTGGTTTTCTTGATTGCCCGAGGCTGAGGTTGGAAAATAAGAGTGAGTATCATTTTGCTGATTTACTTTGTCTGCTGACCGTCATGGCATAGACAGCATTACAAATACAACTGTTCAAATAAGCAGGTGATGCTGAAGAGCTGCAAAGAACAGACAGGAATGCTATTTACAATTTTACCTTTTGACACAATTGAACTTCTATGGTTTTTACGTTCAGGATTTGACAATGGTACAATTGTAGCAATACGTTAAACTTCTCCCCTTATTTTTCAAAAACTTTATTAAATGTAATGTTGCTATAAATTCATTACTATAGGTTTTGAGAATAAGATAGTTATTGAGTAATTTTTAAAAAGTGTTCCTATCACCCTTAGTGCCTTCCTTGTCTGATCTCGTATTATGCATGACTTGCTGTCTATTTTTGTAAAGAACTAGAACTTTACATCTTTCATCAAATATCCTGGTGAATGAATGGAAGACATCAATAGAGAATGTTAAACTGCACGTTTTTTCAGATAATTAAAATCTGCCTCATGCAATTATGTGTAGTGTGAGAGCAGAATAATATGCATAAGTCAGTGAAAAAGAAAAAATATAACAATAAACTGTGTAACAATAATTAAAGAAATCTAGAGTAATATAGTTCACAGTCTCTGAATGCTACTGTATGACATATTTCTGTTTCATCATGTTTCTTAAAGTGATTTCAATGCTCTGCCCATTTTTGTCTCACATTTTATTATTTTATTGGAAATTGATTTATAGAGATTCTTTATACATTTTGGATATCAGTCTTCATTGATTTATGTATTTATGCAAAAAGCTTCTTCTAAGCTATAACTTATTTTTCACAGAATTAACAGCAGTTGTTGCTGAATATGCCAGTTTTGTTTTGCTTATTTTTGTTTTGGATTTGTTTGTAGTGCAGAGAATTGGTGAATCACACATGCTAGACAGCTTCTGTACCACTGAGCCACGTCCTTAGCTATGAAAATTTTCACTTTTAATACTGTAGGTTTTGATAATTATTTTCCTTGTTGTGCTTATTTAGTCATATTTCTTGACCAAAAATTATTTCCAAAAAGAATTCCTATATCTACTCTGCCACAGTCTTGTCTGGATATTTGAAAGTCTTTCGCATGAGAGTTTTTCTACACTGAGATGTGTAATGTTAGAGGTAATTCCAATTGCTTTTGCAAAGAAATAATACAATTATTCCATTTTCTTGCTATTTCTCTGCACACTATGTTTTCATTTTCCTTTCTTTTCTTCTTTCTTTTCTAAATTCCCTGTATTACTTTTATTTCTCATCATATTCTCCCTCTATGATTATATAAGAATATCAAACCTACTTTCTGATGCATTAATCTTTCTCAGGATCTCTAACTGTATCTCTATTTAAACGTACACATTATATAACGACATTAAATTATGGATTTAGTTTCAGTGAATATGAGTTTCATGAAGTCATACCAGGTAACTTTTCAAATCTTTTTTAGCAATATCTTGTCTTTTTCAGTTGTTACTCCATAATAGATTTCTTATCCCTAATTGTGTAGAACTGAATTCTAATTAATTTTAACTTCTGTATCACCTTTTCCATCACTGATAGATAATATCTGACACTCACAACTTAAAGGAGATTTTAATTAGTTCATGGTTTCAGGGTATTCAGTCCGTGGTCAGCTGACTCCTAAGCAGGAATATCATGGCAAAAGGGCAGGACAGAGCAAAGATGATAAGTTCGTGACAGTCAGGAAGAAGAGTGCAGAATCAGTGCCAGAAAGGAAGGAACCAGGAGACCACGTATCGTATTCAGGATCACACCTCCATGACACACACAGACACATAGAGATGTGTACTCCACCAACCACCTGGGGAGATCCCAAGCCAATCAAACTGACCCATCATGCTTACCTGTTGCAACTTCTTCCTCTTATATACCTTGATTTTTTTCAGGAAATTTTTCTGACTGTGTACAAAGAAATTCACTGCAGCAGATTTTGCTGGTAAGAATAAAATAAGTTTAAAAAAAGAAAAAAAAGAATAATGCATACCTTGAGATGCTAACATGTCCTTTAAGACAACTGTAATTATGGTGTGTGTTTTTGCTTGGGTGTCTGCCAGGATAAGCTAATTATCTATCTGGAACAAAATGATATTAGTAAATTGTAGTAAGAAGGCTCATAATTTAAAACTTTCAGAGGAGAATTTGTATTTTGCCCAGGCCAAAATAAAACATAGAATTTCAGGGTGCTAAAAGGATGAGATGATATCTTTTTTAAAATATTTGAATATTTTAAAA